ATTAGAGGAACGCCCCTCAACATGCATATGAGACCGAGCTCTATGAGCGAGTTCAGCTATTCGGGCTGTTCTCAGAGAAGTTCTATTCAGCATCGCCCGTCCAACAAGTGGCCGCATCTCGCGCACGGTTCCTTGCCGGCCATGCAAATCATCCAGAGATGGTGAGATCAAGCAATACAATACCTGCTGCGGCGGTTTGGGAAATACTTTGTCGATGGCAGGGGATGCGCCTTTTGTTCGATTTGTTTTGCGACTCCTGCGTGCAAGAATCTTATTCTGTCTCCGGGTTTCCCTGCCTGCCGCTAGACGAAGAGGATTGGGTAGCGCTGGCCGGTGAAGACACCCTACCGGCTCCATCAAGGAGTAGTCATGCGATACTTGACGAGGTGGATGCTGAACAGAAGCAGCGTTCCTATCAAAGGTTCTACAAGGCCCTGACGGCTCATTGGACTGCAGTCGAAGCATTATGGCTCGGAAGAGCGCAAGTGTATACAACTTCCAAGCAATGCGACAAGTCCTTTGGACTTGTCTGGACGAAGTGGACAAATAACCCAGACCGGCCCCTAGAGGAAAAGATCGACCTTGTTGAAGTGGTCGACTTCGTCTGGGGCTTTCTTGGACGCAAGTGTTTTCCGGTCTCTAGCGTGCCAGCCTGGCTGGAGGGCGAGAGGGAAGAAACTATGCAGGAATACCTCGACGACAATGGCACCGTGGCCTCCAACTGGCCTTTCTTCGTGCAGCGTGTCATACAGTATCTACGGCCGCCTCAAGTTATAGAATTGCTTCTCTCGATGTGGAAGCTTCATGACGACCAGAATCTTGATCGGCCCACCTATTTGCAGCGATTGGGATTTTCTGATGTGTTTGAGGGGATAATAGAAGGCGAAGATCGTTGGGTGAGTACCGATACTTGGTTTCCGATTACAGTGGTGGAATCAGATGTGGAGAATGGATTGTATTACATGGAGGATGGTCCTTCCCTGGTAGCGAAATGGGACTACTACAGACGAGTGATGTGGCCGTCAGATGCAAGAACTAAGGTTTTGTTTCGAAATGAATCCGGACAAGAGCTAGTTGAACGTATTACGGCTAAAGTTTGATAATGAGGCTAGGCAACAATTGAATGATGGTGCTACCGTTTTAGTTTTGTTCCCCTACGGGAATCACCAGGTCTCTTACCCTCCAACTACTAGCTACAAGAAAGATCAGGACCGGCACTAACTCATCGCTTTCTCCAACCCACGTTGGCTCATAAGGTTGAACCTGATGACGTATTCGGGGGTCTCAATTTAGGAGGGATCTCAATAACCTCACAAACATGTGTCACCACAGGCAATTAACCAACTCACATAGGCGAAGAGGTTGAATGGAGAAGCCTTTATATATTCTTTACTGACCTGGCCTTTGAACATTAAGACCGTCGTATGATCGCATTCACCAAGAAGGCCATTTTTCCTCTCACCCACCCTCATCGACTTAGACCGAGTTCGCTGCTCTTACACGAACAGATCCTCATGCCTCTCGCGGTTTCGATCTCTTGTCACCTCTGTGCATCATATAAAACCTCTTCGGTACTGTATCTAGAGGAGTATACAGGGCGCACAAGCGAAGAGCAAGAGATTACACACTATAGTCATTAGTAAAAATCAGAATACCTGCTTGCCCGGTAACCATGGCCGTTCTAACATGAGCCTACTGAACAGATCAACACGGGTGTTAAACGGACTAAGGAATACGCGTTAGACGGCAGCCGCGAAGGAGGGGACGGGATCCTGTAGGAAGCCTGCCACATCGTCAAGACCTTCAAGACGCTGCAAGTGACGCAGTGGCACAGTTGTCTCAGGGGTGGACACCACCTCCTTTGATGGAACATGTCAGCGAGCGGGAGTGTTGATTAACCCGGCCGCTTTGCCATTCACAACTCCCTATGTTACGGCCAGGACCGGATGGTTGGACCCGTACGCTGGACATCTTAGCCAGTACAGTCAATATAAAGCAAAGCATTTTAATCAAATACGCCTCTGCACTGTCAAAGAATGGATAATCGCTCCCAAGGAGTCGTTGACTTTTGAGAAAAGGCATAATTTAATGTTGACGTTACATGCGTGCACTTTAGCAGCGGAGGCAGTAAATTCCGTAGTTTCTGTGAGCTTTGGGACATTGCGGTAAGCTGCACAGGTGCTGGGAATCGACGAGGTGGCGAAGGAGAGAATGTTTCGCTTAGTCGGAAATGTGTGGAGGATTAAGCGAACAAGAGCGGGTTACACCGCAATAGCGATATAGTAGGCGCTACCCGACCGTGACTTAAGAGCTGAGATCGAAGGAAAATCACGTTCAGTAGCTAAAGAAGTCGCTCAGCGCATTGCAGCCAGGATTATGATCATATGCGTCAGTCCCATCTGGATTCTGGTTCACGGCATAGTACGCATTGCCATTGGGGGCGGTTTCGCTGGCTGACGGAGTTGGTGTGGTTCGTAGTTCCGAGGTGCTCTATTCTTAAAGTGGCCGTTAACAACAACAACAACCGAACTCTGGAAGTAATCAGCTGAGACAGCATAGCCTAAACCTTACAATCCAGTGAAAAAAGAGTTTATAGTGACCCAATCATGCGAGAAGTACAATGCTTCATAAGACCCAATACTTGTTGCCCAGTCTCCAACCCCAGGGGAGCAATGCCACACGACTAAAGCTTCCAGAGATAGGGCGGAAGCAGGAGACTAAAGTTTCCGATTGCTAGGGAATATCTTATCAGGATGCTTCCGGTCCAGTTCAGGAGAGGGAATTTCCGAGTCATTCACATCCGTCTTGACATGTTCCTTTGAATCCCGGGGGCGCTTGTAAGAGTTATCACAGACATGGCATTTGTGAGGCTTGAAGGGCACATGGATTCGAACATGGGAGGTAATGTGGTACCGCTTGGCAGCAATGGCATTGCAGCTGCGCCATTGGCATGCTAAAATGAGGTTGTTAGCAGTCTTGCGGCCAATATGCCACTCGCAGATGTGCTCCTGTGTCGCAACAACTGTCAGAAAATTGGTGGACCACTGATCTGTCAACGAGCTTACATATAGGGCCTCTGCAGTGAAAAAGGTTTCATTGCATCCAACCCATTGGCAGGGTAGTTCACGAAACCTATCTGTGGACGTGCCATTAACAGCCGCAGTGGCGGCCCCAGTACAAACGGCGGTCGAGGGGATAGAGATTGTAGTTGTCTGGATACATGTGGCTTGCTCAGTGTCCACGACAGAGGCGGAAGCCATCGAAGTCTGTCGCGTGTTACTAGAAAAGCTGATATTGCTTTCCGTCATGGTGCCAAATAGAGCGATGCTGACAGAAAGCCTCAGCACGAGTTCAGATGAGCAAAAACTTTGGGACGAACCAACCAACCTCTAACAGAGTGGAAATAGGACTAATCGAGGTCACTCATTCTTGACAGTGCGGTAGGATAGGAAATAAACTATCCAGCATACGTGGTCCTGAGGCGAGCGAGGGAAGTAAGGTGAGAAACTTGGGAGAAGCGAGAAAGGGAGTATGTCAGGCGAAGTTAGCATCCGGGGGAGCTACTCCGCCGAGCGCGTGCCGCAGGGAGGACAAGGCGGTGAATTCACGGGCGCAACGCGTTGTTCTCTAAGCAGCGTGGAACGCATCGGCGGCTACGTTCGAAGTCAACAAACACGTCTGCTCCATCTGGTATCAAAACAACCTTGTACCTTTCGGACTATCGATGGGCATTTGTGACCGTCGCGACAACCGGCTGGCCGTTAGCCTCGCGAGGCTGCTTCTGCTGGAAATACTGTACTTCACGCTTTCTACGCTATGATAGGTTTCCAGGATCCAAGGAAGAAGGTCTTTAATACCCAGCTGAAGCATGATTAATATTGAGTCAATTGGCTAAGGTAAACATTGCGGAGACAGAATGAGAGCAAGCGCAGATTTTTTATTGCTTTCTGACATTTATGGCCTGAAATAATCTCCGTAGGTTTGATTCACACGTTTCATATGTTTATTTATTTATCTATAAGCGAAATTCTTTTTCTATTAGTCCATCAGAGCTGGTTTTTATTAGTGAATATTCTTGGATATTCTCTAGGTACCAAATACAGTATTTCTCAAGCCCCAGCATCCCTCATGCTATTCTGGAAAAATCCTTTCCTCTGCAGTCTTTCAGCAACCCCCGTGTGCTAAGATCTACGCGGTCAAAATACTGAAGAACAAAGCTTGGGATGAGCAAGGGTCCGGGAACCATGGTTCGAGCCGAAGACAGAGCACGGATATCAAATCTTGGCTTTCGTCAGACTCCTCAAAACTTGTTGGAGCACCTGTATTTATGGTATTGTCCTGTCACCCTGATACGCACTACTCATGCATTAGGGTTAGACCTGTATCTATCATACTGGGTCGTGACCCACACAGTCTTCAGATAATACAACTACTTTACACATGCTACAACAAAACTATACGCTGAAAACAGCGAGTAACTAGGTACTTTTGCAAATATGGATAATAGGTCTGACGATACTATATTTACCTTTTCACGTAAACAGAGCTATCTGGGGATTTGAGTATATTTTACCCTTGCTGCCGTCGACGTTGGGTTTGAAATTAGAGATGAAGTACCCCGGAGGCCTAAATTTGCATTACCCGAAAAGCCGATCTCAGCTATCTCCTAGTCACACGTGTCACCAACACCGAGAAAGTGACGCTAGACTATGAAGGGCGTAACCAGGTTGAACCTAGATATGGATGAATTGCAGGTATTCATATTGCAAACATTCTTGGTCTAAGTTACACGATACGCAGATTTGCCCGAGAGACTATTCGGAGCCCCAGTCAGTGTACAGATCGTCGGCCGGCGTCTGAATGGAGAATATCTCTTGGGAATTACGTGGGCCTTTGAAGATCCTCCCATGTGTGCCAAGAACATTCCCAATGGCTGTGGAATGTAAGTTCCATACCATGTTGGGCGGCAAAAACAAAAACAAAAACAAATGACAGGATTACTACAACCCCTTCTCCCCAATCTCACAAACAGCAATTCCCAGCATCCATTCGGAGCTCAGAATCTCTTCTGCTGTAATCCTCAGGCCCGGGTCAGGATGCAACATTGCATAAATAACATTCCGACAATTCTGTTGTGTTATGAAGTATTAGATATTATGTTCATGTTGAATGTGTGGAATCTGGCACCATCGGATCTGTAACTTACATTTTCCAGAGCCTGTATAGGGCCATATCCATCTTGCTTCAAACGGCAATGAAGATATTCAGTATAGGATTTGTCCGGATCCACTGTCCGGGTGGTGCGCCAGGGAAGTTGGCCAGACTGTAGGATCATGTAGATCATGCCGCATGCCCATATGTCACCCGCCCCAACATCATAAATATCTTGGTGGGTATAGCCTTGACGGACAGAGTCACGGCGACTGGAAAACCTCTCTGGAGGAAGATAAGGAGTACTCAACTCCGACACACTTCTTCGTACACACAGGAGCAACTTCGAGCTAGATTCTCGTGATTTGCCTGGTCTGAGTCCAGACTGAGGATAAGCTTCTTCAAAACGTGAGAATGCGACCAATTCCCGCACTGCATCTTCATCTTCCCCAAAGCCACCCACCTTCACCGCACCTCGGGCAGTGAGGAGTACATGGTCTGGCCTCAAATCCCCATAGGCAATCCTGTGGTCGTGTAGGAAGCCGATTGCACGCAATATCTGGACAATCAAGCAGTTTATTTCCTCAAGTGACAGGCCATCTTTGGCCCTCGCTACTTGTTGCAGAAAAGCGTGCAAGCTCCCACCAGTACAGTAGGGCATGGCAAGACAAATATTTCCTTGCTTATTATAAAGAATATCGATGAGGGAGACAATATTTGGATGAGATAGTGGTGGTCTTCTACTTCCATCTCGCGGGAGGTTGGGCACCCGGCCCAAGTTGGCTTTGGTATGGTGAAATACTCTGACTGCGTAGAGTTCCCTGATTGTTGGCTTCGGCATAGAAGCATGCTTTAATTTCGTCAGCATGGACCCTTTCCGGGTTTGTGTCGGCGACAATATTGGCCGGGAAACTGGTGATTTCTTTTCGAAAAGTTGCACAGTGCTGGTATTATTGTAATAGAGGACTGTTTTGAATACCCCATATTCCGTGAATGATGCCTGCTCCGATTGGGTATTCGCTGTGGGGATCCTCTGAGCCTGGGCCGATTCATCTCGATCAGAAAGCTTATCAGTTGATTTTGAAGCAGTTGTCTGCCTTGTAAGCCCTTGATTTGAGATGTTTGCTCCCGACTGAGAACGACTTCTACAATCCTGCGACGTTGACCAACCCCACTCGGAAAATACATCCGTCAGGTCGTCAATAATAGGAAGGTTTCGGGAATCATGCTTGTCTCTAACATCGTCCCTTATCGTGTGATGATAATGGGTCGACACAGAGCGATCTGGCGATGGGACATGCTCGAAGGGAGAATGTAGATGAGGACTTTGAGAGTTCCCTGTCTCTTGCATAGTCTGTTCTAGGAAGAGACAAATAATTATCGCCAGAGAGTCGAATTACCGCGTCTTCGGGCCAGGCCAATATGAATTTTTCACAGTAGCGTAAACGCACAAAGTAATGTATTCCGGACAACCATTGTGGTGTGAGGTTTGGGAAGAGCTTGTCGTGGCATGATATATGACGTCATCATAAATCAGACCATGTGACACAATTTGGGAGGTGACCGAAAGGTTAAATAGGCAGAGTGAGAAAGATTTAAAATTATAATGAAAACACAGGAAATTTTATAAAGAGTGATATCACTACTAAGGGGTCGGCACGAAGAACGAATATTCGTATCCGCTGTTGATTATTGTTGATTATCACGGCAGTCAAAGCGTAGGGCGGGGACTAGCAATAGACGTTTATGTTGTAGTTCAGAGGTATGAATTGAGTTATTGTTCAGAGGGAAACATTAAGCTGTATATATACAACGAGAAGAACCAAGTTGATTTCCAATCAACTTGGTTCTTCGTATAGATACCTCGGGATTAATTCCGATGGTTCGGCTTGGTTCCTGATCTGCACCAGCCTCATATCACAACAGGGCACAGGCTCTCATCGTTGACGCGTTGGTAGCGGATCAGAGGGTGGATGCATATAGCTTGCGAGAGGCACGAGTCATCGCAACGCATGAGAACATCCGAATGGCCATCTAGAACGAGATCGATGGTCGCAGAACTTGCCGCGGACGGATCGCAGCTTCACGGACTGAAGGCACATTGATTGGCCCTCGGCTTAGTGACGCGGGTCGCCAACATAGACCACAGAGAAGACGTTAAGATGGTACTGCTTGAGATATCTGCCGTGGGCCGCAGAAAAGTTGTCGACTAGCTATAAGCCAAGATGCACGGCGTGCACTGGAATGTGAAACCGTGAAAAATCAACTTGTCATCAGTCTCATGGTACATGGTAACAACCAAATTGCCTCTAGGAATTGAACTTTTTAGCACAGGTTTTTCAACATCGTGCATCAACGGCTAGAACGTGCGTGAACTGTCTCTCAACCCGGCCAATTTGAAGCACGGCCCAGACTGATTAGAGGGAAAATTTCTCATATCCAAAGGAATGTCTCGTATTTAAGGCCTAGGAGGAATCCGCTATGTAGTGCACGCTCACTCCTCTCCCACTCTTCACCAATGAGCCCACCCGCTGCATCCCCTTCGCCAGCCGACAGACCGGCTAAACGACACTCCGAGGACGCTGGAAATAACTCGGACGCAAAGGAAAGCCTCCTGCTCTACCGCCGTAAGACCAAAGGTAAGTATCCTCCGAACATACCGCAAACAAAACTCAACAGCGTGCTACAGATCTCTACCGCCGCGAACAGCCTCCCCACGACGCAACTCAAGCAAATCCTAGGCTGTAATGCCGATCTCGCAATACCTGCTCTGAGACACCTAGACTTGTATCTGTGTCCCATGGGAAAGTTATGTTCTGAAATCTGCGGAATATATCCGGCTTGAAGATGAGCGATGCCAAATATGCGAGTTAAACGAATTGCTGGAAGACGAGAATGATATTTTCCTTTAGTGCTGCAACCGGCAGGCGCTGGAGTTGGAGAATCGGAAACGGGCATTGAACGCATTTTATGGCAGTGTCATATCGGCGTTGCAAATCATTGATCTACCTTACTGTCACATCGAGAGACCCTGATGCATAGAACGATGTACCTCTTTTCATTTTAGACATGCCTACAGTTGATGGTGGACGGCTTGATTCAGTCATTCCACGCACGATCAGCCAGAAATTACTGTGAATCATGACGAGGGTCTACGGCCCAAGCAATTACCGCCCGTGAGGTGCTTTGTATGAACTTCATTGATCCCAATTGTTAGACATCCATATCTAGCCAGGATAAGACTTCCTACCGATCTATGCTTCCCCTTCTCAATCTAGCTACGTCTTCCAGCGGTAACACAAAACCAGCTCTGGCTCCATCTAACAGCTCACAAGATATGTTGAATACGATCTATGCAGCATTTATCGACTCAAAAGTCCATACGATCCTCTTGATTGTCTCCAAATTAGACTAATTTATATTTTGAAGTTGTGACGTCGGATGGACCCAGTTATAAAGGAGCCTACTAAGGTATATCACAATCGTTGGAAGACAACCACAAGTCTTTTCCTCTCACTGGGTCTATCTCGCAAGAAAAATGGAATATCATTTGGCAAAGAACTAATCAATGTTCTCTCTCGCAATTCATCAGCCCTCTCACTTGGCTTTGGGAGCACTGCTCCCAATCATTGAGAATGCTGACCAGTCGCTCCCTAGACGAGTCCAGTGCTTGGTTCAAATGATCAAACTGAGATAACTGCTCATCATGATGAGCCAGCAGTAGCCCCTTTTCATTCTCCAATCGTTTATTCTCCTGTCTCAACTCCTGGTTGGTCTGCTCTAGCCTCTCACTGCCAACCCGTTTCGACATACACGACTCCCACAACCGTCGGTAGAGCCCCAAGATCCGGGCTGCCTGAAAGGCAAGTTTCGGATCATCCTGTTCAAGATCTGCTAGTAGCTGTAGTATCGGCTGGAATGGTTCGGCTGCTGAATGTTCTTCTTCGGCTTGCGACTGGGAGTCCGCTTGGAATGATCAGAAGTGTACGCAACTTGAGGACAAATTGATTCTTACCGGCGGGGGAGCTTTTTCAGTTGTCATTTCCGGATCGCACCGTTCAGTTTGAGAAGGAATTGCATTAGCCTCAGTGTTTTCGTCCCCTTCTGGATCGCAGCAGAAAGTCGGAGCATCCATTTTTCTTAGCAAAATAATGGAGGGTCAAATTGAGAATAATGTGTCGTGTTCTTGACTGCCGATCTAGTTAATCTAATATAGTCACGAAAACCGACCGAGCTAACAAATTCAGCTCTCTTCACGCAGTAATTTAAAGGTTGAAGATGTTAATGAAGGCAATTTGGTTATTAACAAGAGATAGTCAACAAGCACTTCAATTCAAACGGAGTAGAGCAACAACTGATCAATCACCATTGACAAGAAATGAAAAGAATTCGTGCAAGAGAGAAATTTTTGAATGAGATAGACCGGATGGACTATCGCGTGTCTCATCATGGAGTCATCACCGTCATTTCAAGCGTTTAAACGGTGATAAATAAAATGTCGGTCGAACTCAGCTAATGCCATACGTGTGAAAAGCACCAACTCGGTGCTGTCAAAATTACTCCGAGGAAAATTGAGGGAAGATCTCTCACTTCCACTGATTGTGATATATTGCTAGTTTCTTTTCCATCATTGCTTGCTGTTTGTACCGGTTACCAGAAGAGTCGGTCTATCGCGCGCACAGTATTTCGCCGTCCGAACTTCCGGTGTCGCATTGCTGGTGTTTTGGATTATGCGATCCACTTTGTGGTACTACCTTTCTTCTACTCGGTACAAGGCAGCCAACAGCCATACTGCGATACTGCTTGTGTGCAATTCCCGAACAATCGCTTGCAAATGGATTCGCATTGTCTGAGAGAGCCCTGTCCGGAGGAGTATTCGCAGACCCGACCCCATTTGAGTCAAGCACCAATGCTGAACGAAGCGAAAGCCAAATGGCTCTCGATTATCGACCCTTGCTACATTCCATATCCTATCAGCATGGCCCTTCCATAACAAACGCTTAGGCTGTTTCATCCAGAAGACAATATCTTGCAGATTCATCAGAATGGCCACCTCGGCCGCGTTTTTCGACGACCAGGATACTTTTCCGGCTCCGGCTTCGATCATTGGGTATCGATCCCGATCATTTTCTGTCTGGGAAATATGCCGAGATCGTATCCTTCTAGATTGTTATATTCATCTAAAAGGCCCCATGCCTCCGAGGAAAAAGTTATTCCTACCTGCCATTCCTGTTCTACGTGGCTTGGCAGTGATACGGAGGCTGTAACCCGACCAGGTTCTCTCGCGCCTGCCAATGTCACCTCTCTATTGATTCTCCTCAAGATCCTCTGGACTGGAGCTTCGAGAAATTGCTACATAAAGTACCCCAGCGGCAGTTTAAAAGCATACACTCGGGGTGTGACAGCCAATTAAGGCGCCGAAAGGCCCTCGAGCGACACCTGACATGCCACTCAGATGAAAGGCCGTACACCTGCTGGGTGCCAGAATGTCACCGCACCTTCAAACGCGCGGACAATCTTAAGGCCCATTATACTACCCATGGCAAAACGGGCAGGCGCAATCACTACGTGGCAACCTTGGACAATATGAGTTCCGTCTACAGCCCGGAGTTTCGCGGTCAATTGACATTGGAGGGGTGGCTCATATATAAATAGACCAGAAATGAAATGCCCTGTCATTTAGGAGTAGTTGTTGATCTATTGCCTGGCAAATTTAGTGATTGACAGGAGAGTTACACTAAATATCAAAATACCCATCACTTTACTCTAAACTTCCCTCCCGGTTCTACCGGATCTCTTAGATCAACTGTCCATTTTTTCCTAAATTATGCGGTATCACCTAAAATTCAGGCATAACAACGTGATTTTGTTTCAGAACTTGCGGGACAAGCCTCACGTCGAAAGTCCTGCGCCACTTAACTCTGGTGTTCGTTGACCATGACCGCCGCCTGCGGTTCCAGGGAATCCGCATGATCATGGATGGCTTGCCCCCTCGTCATTTCGACTCACTGGTGGGGTCTGTGGCACTGAAGTTGAAAATTTCTTATCAATTTACTTAGCAGGAGTCAAACAAATACGTGATGGCCATTTGAAGAG